GAAATTTCCAAAAAAAAGTTGGACAATTATTAAAAGTAACCGGTAATCATTAATAATAATGGTTATTAATAATTACCACGTCTTTTTGTAAAAGAGATAAATGATGCTCTTTTATCACATTTATTGGTTATTATCAGAAATTATAAATAGAGCGTGGTGATTATGATTATTAAACGGTAATTATTATACGTAATCGGACATTTTTTAAGGAAAGTGATTATTAATAATTACCGGGTAATTATTTGGAAAATTCTCACATTGACCAAACTTCACTGGTTAATTTTTAATATAATAAATTTTCAAAAAATAACTTTAGTGCACTTATTTAACCAAACTTAGTAAATTAGTAATTTAAATTACTTAATTATAACCAAGAAATGATATGAATTATGGATAATTGATAAATTTTATTGACAGAAACATATGGAACGAAATGTTATTATATTAAAAATATTTTTATAGGTGGTGTCTTAATATTGATAGATTGCTGGAAAGCAATCAGTCAAACGACTTGCTTCTGACACAAATTAATTTTTATGTGGTTTATTTGTACCTGATTGATTATACTGTTAATTCTTTGCACGGAAGTGGCTGATATCGCTCACATAATTCATGTTTTGCCCCAAATAGAAAAATAAATGACCCCAATACATTCTGCTTTCTAAGTCCGGCTTACATTGAAGTAGTAAGCCTCTTTTTCAAGAAAACCGAACAATATATCAAAATAACATTTCAATCATAGTATGCTACTAAAATAAAAATATGTCCATGAAAATGAACATAAAATTACTTTTTGCAGTCTAATTTTTATTTTGATAAATAATAAATTTGAACCCGATTTTTGCTGATTTATAAATTATTATTTTTCTTCTTTTTGATAAGCAATTTATCCTTACTATTTTAATGGAATGAGTATTTTTTGAAAGTATTGTTATGGTAAGAGATTTTTAATTATTATTTTTTGTTTTAATTTTAGTTTACCCCTTGAATAAATAATGTTATTATTATTATCTGTAATTTAACTTTTTACTAGAATTAGAAATATACTTAGTTAGAAATAGTTTAAATTTCGACCTGTGCCGACTATTAAAAGGTATCGAGTGATCTGAACTTAGTTAAGGGAAACAAGATGAAGCCCAACGTACAGTGAAAAGTGAAAAATTTTATTATAATTTCATACCAGTTTTTGAATTATGTAAAAAAAAGTAAGTTTTCTTAATATTATGAGGGTTTATATTTTTAGAACAAAATCATGCTTACATTTTTTTTATTTACTACGTTTTTAATAACCGGTCTCCGTGTTGGTGACGATGGAAGCTTATAATCAAGATTTCACCCAATTTCCGACGAGCTCGAGCACTCATATCTATACCGGAGCTGAGTGCTTGTTGACAATGCGAGTTTCAACTGTGCCCACTACCAACGAAATTTATTGCGATGTCATCGTTAATCAAAATTTTGACGACTATTCAGCAAAAGCAAACCTTGTCTACTTTTCAACATTTCGACAAACTCAAAAATCAAAAGAAAAAGCAATTAAAAATCAAAAGAAACGAAACAATTAAAAATCAAAAGAAACGAAACAATTTAAAAACTACATTTTTAAGCGCAGTGAAAAAAAAAATATTTCTATTTTTGTCACATCTAATGAAACACCATGCCTTTAGTAATAAATGTCACTTTTCACCGAAAAACCTGGATGTCACACATTATTCTTTCTTCATTTTAGATGCGACAAAAAATAACATAAATATATAATAAACATTGAACATTGACCCTTTAAAATAAGATGGTGCACATTAATTTCAAAAATTCATTTTGGGATGTGTCAGTTCATTTATAAAAAGGACTTCAACTTTCATGTATTAATAATAGATATTTAAACTTTCCTTGGAATAATACTTTTACTTTTTTTTTATCAATAAACAAGTAACAATCCCATAAATATTAACTTTTGGAATGCGAAACTTATATTAAAAAGCCTCAAGATAAATTTGACGCGCATGAAAAGAATTCATTTTAATACCTCAAAGGCATTTGGAATGTCATAAGGCTAAAAGTTTAGAAGATATTAACGAAACTATTTTAATGATTTACATGTTTGTTCGATTTCTTGTATCATTTTTCTCTTACTGTTATTGAAATCTAAATATTTGCTCGAAGAAAAGACTTTAATTAGTTAAAATTTCAGAATAACTCTTTAAAACAATCAATTTCCTAAATAAAGTGTTTTAAAAAGAAAAATGGCAGCTTAGAAAATGCAGCTTAGGTTTGTTTATATATAAAAACAGTTGGATTTGGTTGGTTTATTAAATATCGATAGCAAAATACTAGTACTATTCCCAAAAGGGGAAATGCCGGTAAATTGCATGGTTGGGTCCTAATTTTCCTTTTATATAAAAAACGCTGTAAGTTTATAGTTTATAAATACAGGTTGTTCTGTAGGCTGTAAAAAGTATTCCACAAAATTGTGTAAATGTGTCAAAATAATCCCGAAACAAGTGTATTCAAATTTAAAATTTGATCAGCCCTGCGTTGGGACCGAGGATGCGTGGTATCGGTCTTCGTTAAACTGTTCTACCATAAGGTGCTCGACTTCAAGCGTAGGTCGACGGGTTACCAAAACAGAGAAGTCATCATCTCTGCAGAGGATTAAAATTGTGATTATATGTCTTCGGTTATATGTATATATTATGTCTTTGGATCATTCCCAGACCATCACCAATAACCCATTGTGCAGCTCTAGTGCTATGTAAATAAAGTACCTATAAAATTTAAATTCCCATTTACGCATTTTTAAATCTAGTGACATGCTCAAAACTCATTTTTGAAACTATGCTCACTCTCGTTTAAACGCCGGCCACGTGGACGAGCGGTCAGTGTGTCTGACTTCGAAGTCAATGGTTGCAGGTTCAAATCCTGCTCAGGGCATGGATGTTTACCTCTGTGTTGTTCCCTGTTATGTGATGTGTAAATGTGGCCCACCTTATGAACGTGTATTTGTAGCAGTGTTACGTGGGTAATGTTGCTTGTCTCCGTGACTAAGGTTCACAGGTGCCCACCGGGTAACTTTAAATGAGCGACATTTCCGACATCTTCCGAGGAGAAGAATGAAAATTCAGTGCCTGACGTTAAAAAAAAAACTCTCATTTATATAACAAAATTTTCAAAATGAGCATAAGATGAGTTATTTTCGAGACTATAAACTCTGAGCAAAAACGAGTTGATGCAGATTTAAGCATGTCACTATACTCAACAATGTACACGAGGTTTTCAAATTCGACTATATTTGTTTCGCAGCTATTTCGATCAGTTTTGAGAAATTTCATAAAATTTATTGCTCAATGTTGAGACATTTTACAGTGTAATGATATCCCGTAGTTGTTATGGTCATAGGCCATTAAAGCAAAGTGTGTGATTGTTCTTGTTTTCCAGTGGAGCCATCTATGGCCAAGAATTCAACTTCTGCCACACTCATACGTATTACCCGCTTATAAGGCGAACCCATTCATACATTCATTCATTCATCCACAGATCATAGTTTCGACCTGATCCAGAAAATGATCAATCTCCAATCCAGTACCCCCAGAGGTATAATTTGTTATAAGAATATGGAGGACTTCGTTATCCGTCAGACTTAACGTGCACCAATCACCATTTACTACAAAAGGGGTCGGTGACCTGTTGGATTCGTACTCCCGTTCTCACGAGCGAGAGTCCAGCGCTCTGCCAACCAGCTATCCCGGCTACAATGATATCCAGTAAGATGTATTTTTAAAATTTACTCTAAAAATTGAAGAGGACAAAGCATGCACATTAGGGGTTACAAATTAATATGTAAGAGAGGAAAAAACAGAAACTCTATCGATATCTGGTTAATTACAGTAGAGAAATATGGGTGTAATAAACATCAATGCAAGTTGAACAGTTATTTCTGATTCAAACAAATGGCAGCCACAAAAATAAGATAAGAAAAATAATGAAATAAAATGATGCGTTACGAAAATGACATTAAATTACATAAAAAGAAGAAAACAATTTAATTTCATTTATGTCAGACTTGGAAAACTTTTGTAATAAAATTTCATCACCACTACCCTCTCGGAAATAGATTTCTCTCCTTTGACAATTCAGGAATCCAGGAGCAATATTTCAGTAATTTTGCGAATCATTTCGTCAGGAAACTACGTGATTTGTGACGAAACGCGAGCTCTCAAATATATGACGAAAATGTCATCAATCGAACAGTGGAAAATAAAGTGACGAATTAACCCGCCCTGCATGCATGGTGGTTAAGGAATGGACCTCGTAACAAGGAAGACACGGGATTCAAATCCCGCTTCGGGGATGGGTGTAACTCATCTTTCTGTTCTATCTGTGTTGTGCCACTTATACGCTGCCCACGTTAAATTGATTATTAGAAAATTTAGACACGTTAAGCACTACAAGGTTTTTATTTTGGGAAAAAAATAGAATGAAATATTTCTTCTATTTTAACGAAATTCCTTATCTTGAAGAAATACGATAGTTATTTCGCAGCTTTGGCGAAATTTTTGGTCGGAGCATATACCAGGAAACGATTTTGTCAAATGCGATAAAAATTTCTTGAATTTTGAGCATCCATGAGCATTCTTGCAGTGCAAGTGATGCGTTTTATGTTTATGTTGAGTGATATGTTACGTTATATGTATGTTATGTTATGTTAAGTTTATGTTAAGTTTGTTTATGTTAAGTGATACTTTTTATGTCTCAGGTATGATAAAAATATAATTTTTTTCTCTTTTTGAATCAAAGTAAAAATTTTTCATTTCATTTTATTCTTAATATTTTATCATTTGGGTGTTGAAGATCACTTAAAAAGTATAGAATAACATCTATTGAACGGCAGACCAACATAACACCGTTTTTCAAAGGCTACAAAATTGTATTTTTCAGACATCTCGTATTATCAACCAAGAGTTCCTGACCGGATATCCGTTACTCCAACAATATGAAGAAGTTTCCGCGCCATTTTCCATTCGAACACTCATTATGGTCACTCTGATATACCAAAGCTGTTAAACTAAGTTGAAGAATTTGCTAAGAAGTTTCCTAAATGAGTTAATTTTTTAAATTTTTAAATATATCGCAGTTTATCTGTCTCTGTTGTATTTTTTTTATCAATCTACGATTTATTATCAGTTTACAGATTACTAACCCTTTCTACTATCGATAAAGGGTTTAGAAACGTCGAACTATTAGGGCTTATCAAAAGATTTGCCTTACTTATATGAGGAATAATGAATAATAAGTATTATTTGGAGTGTGTGATTGCCATTCTTGTTGTGTCTTGCTGCTTTGCTTATTATGAGGACGAGGATGATGACGATGGCCGTAAGTGTATTTAATTTTTATAAATAATGATTTCGCTGTGACTAATTTTTGAGCTTTTCCATCAAGCTATAAGTTTAAGTTCTTGTTAAAACAACTAAGAAATGACCCTTTGAAAAGTATAAACCAAAGAAGCAAAACATTGCTTTATTCATTTATAACAATACTAGGGTGCTAGGCCCCCTGTTCGCTGCCGATCACCAATCCTGATGATTACTTCGTAATAATTGTTGTCTCTTGGCAGAAAACAATTTTTCTACTTAAGTTAAATTTATTCATTTAGCATATACGAACTAAAAAGAATTCTGTTTGCTTACGCTTGTGCTTCCACTTCCTACTTCCAAATATTATTATTTATTAGTATTATAAATATTTAGATCAGTGATTCTCAACCACTGTGCCGCGGCACTTTTGTGTGCCGCCAGCCAAATTCTTAAAATGTGCCGCCAAATATTAGAAATGATACAATAAAAATTATGATGCTCTTTTTATTATGAGTAAAGTTTAAATTAAAGAAAAGTGTATATATATATATATATATACATATATATAAATATATCTATATTTATTTTATAATTTTTCCACGCTTTAACCGCGTGAACATCTTTATCAGCGATTGTCTTGTCTCTGACAATCTTAAAATGAGTTAAAATAAGACGGAAGTGTTAAAATTGTCTTCGACGCACAATTTTAAAAAATGTTGAAATAAGTAGGAAATTTAACGACTATTAGAATTATTAATTAACAAAGCAAGCTAAATATTAACTTTCAAACGGAAATAAAAGCTAATCATTAAAGTAAGCTATGCAATTAATAAACAAATTAACAATGGATAACTAAAAAACAAATATATAAAAAACAAATTGACAAAGGATAACTTACAAAAAAATAAGCTAACAATTAATAATTAGCAAAAAGACTAGCTAACAAGAAATAACAGGAAAATAACAGTTAATGCAAAAAAACTAACAGTTAAGACCTAAAGAAAACAAGCTAACAATTAATAACTAGCAAAAAAATAAAGAAATAACAGTTACTAACTAATAAGAAATTAGTTGAAAGAAATAATTATTCCCTTAATAAACGTGCTCTTGTAGTACATATTATTTTATTTCACATTCAAAATTATGATCACGAACTATTTAACACAGTGTATTATAGGTAAGTGAACAATTTTTAATCTAATTTTTTTCATTGTGTGCCGTCAAATTTCGAAATCGTTAAAAGTGTGCAGCAACAAAAAAATGGTTGAGAATCACTGATTTAGATCTATTGGTGAACAGAAATAATTTTTCCAAGTAATCATTTTTTAAAATAACTTTTATATTCTTATAACATTATATTGTTCAAGCAAATTTGATGAGTTCACATCCATAATTTAATATTCTCACTAATAATAGTAGTACTGGAAAATAAGTTTAAATTAGGGATACAAAATTATTTATAGGAAAACAATACCTTTACGGCTACTATTAATTTTATGCTGATGACAACCAAAACATTATGGGAATGAATGAAGGAAAACTGGATCCTACCACGTGTTTTTCCGGCCAATAAAAATGCGCCGACAACAATGGAAAACGGTGTTAGATCATTATGATTTTATGTTATATAGAGAAATTTTTTTTGATACAATGAAAAGCTAGCTTTAAAACTGCTTTAATATTATACATCCATAGAGCTAGTGTTAGAATAGAGTTACTAGTGCTAATATTTTCGCTTCGCCAAACGGACAGATATATTAAATATTATTTTTGCTTGAATCTCCTTGTGCATTAAGCTGATAGTTAAGACCTAAATTATCTAACATATCTCTTTAACTGTATTTCTCACATTATATTAATGTTATTTGCACAAAAATAGAAAGTGTAATACTGTTAATAGCATTAGACCACCTTTCTGAATAACTTTGTTTTAAATTGTAGCTCAGAATTACATAATAATAATAATAATAAACCACAACAATTCTCTCAATTTTAAGCTCTTGAATTAAAAGTGTAATAATAGCAGTGCAGGAAAATAACTTTAAATTAGGGATACGAAATTTTTTTTATAGAAAAACAGTACCTTTATGACTTTTATTAATTTTACGCTGATGACAACCAAAACAATATGGAAATGAATGAGGGAAAACTAGATCCTGCCACGTGATTTTCCAGCCAATAAAAATGCATGGACAACAATGGAAAACTGCGACACCATTATTAGATTTTTATACATAATAAGAAACGACACATAAGACTGTGTTTTATTCTGGGAACCATACGAATAATAAAAACTTTTCCCCGAAATGATTAATATCTTTTTTTGTTAATTCCTGATACAAAAGAAAAAATTAAGAATCTTAAAAAACTGTCAATGCAATACATTTATTTTAAATTTGATATGTTTGATTTAGCTTTTCTATCTAATCAAAATCACAATCTAATGTATGTATATTAAAATTAACTAAGAGTTTTTGTTGACGAAACTGAAGGTCAATATACACTCTTTCTGCAAAGGGAGAAAATTCTGGTAAAATTACCGTACTGTATGGTAATGACATTTTTGGTTACCCCCCCCCCCATAATTCTGGTTGGTAAAACCAAAACATTCGGTGAGTCATTTGGTAAAGTATTTATCGGAAAATCTGGTTTTCAAAATTATAGTTCTTATGACCATACATTTAGTAACAAAATACAAAACTGAAAAGTAAATTTAACCTATTATGCCATGCTCTGAGATATAATGGTAAAATTACTACTAAATTTTACCACATTTATCAAAATTATCATATATTATAAAGCCATTTTTTATTGTCAAGTTTACCAAAGTCATTAGTAAAGTGCTTGGGTAAAAATTGCCAAGCTTTTTGGTGTTCCCATGCAGTCAGAAACAAGGCAAGTTTTACCATATTTTAGTAGTTTGGACCATACTTACTTTCTCAGTATCTGAACTGACTGCTTTACAAAGAGATATTGTAAAATTATATTCCATTGAAATTGAGTAATTAAACAATTTATATAATATTAGACATTTTTTTACCCATTGAAGGGTAATATAGCAATTTAAATCAAAAATATTTTGAAGATTAAGATTTGTTTAAATTTTTTTATAGGTACATAAAATCGATTTTGCATTTTAATGAAAAGTTAGGTTATACTCTGAACTAAATGGAGAAATTAATTGCAATTTTAAATTCATATGAGGACGTAACCGCCTGCTATATATTTCATAGGAATCTACAATATTTGATAAAAATATTATAAATGCATTATCTAATTAAATTGTGCAATTTATATAATATTAGATATTTCTCACATATTAAATCATGATATATTAATTTAAACCATAAATAGTTTGAAGATTAAGAATAGTATTGAAATTCATTCAGTTAATTAATTCAATTTAGCAAATTCATTCATAATTCAGTATAATCTAACTTTCTTTAGATCCTATTGCATTTAAAAAGGACATGTGAACATGAGCTGCTAGAAATTTCTCAGATAATTAAATAACAGTTTATTTATAATTTTATTTTACCATATTCAATAAAAATGTGAAATAACCTTAAAAAAAATTAGTATTTAAACTGCTAACTCCGAGAGAAATCGTTTATTGACAATTATTACCTAATACGGTTAAGCAACTGGAATTTTATCAGCACCAACTAGGCCCACCTTATGAAGACACATCGTTTCTGGTAGGTGGATACATAATATAGTTGAAAGGGCTAATCTATCAATCTAGTTACCAGCTGAATGCGAGGTTTGAATCCCAGCGTCGACACTACAATATTTCATGTCACCATACGGATAGTAACCGGTGTTCTGTTGTTTTCAATTGATGACTCTGGAATTTTAGAATATAAAACTCTCATTCATTGACAGCACCTGTTTAATACAAAAATAGGTTAGTATTTCCCTTCTCTCCCTCAAATAAACTAGTTAAGTTACATTTCATGATACTTTTGACACAATTCAACGTCAACCTAACTTTAATGTCCATTACTTCACAAAAATCCTAGCTACAGTGTCGAATTTTTTTTATTTTCACGGTTTTGAAACCATATTAGTTGTAAATGCTCACAAAACCATATTATTTTGCATTCATGGTTTTTTAATCATTCTAGTTGTGCAAGGTTTCAAAATCTTAAGGTAAAGAAATGTTCCTAACCGATGTTCCTTTTGACACAATTCAACGTCAACCTAACCTTAATGTCCATTACTTCACAAAAATCCTAGCTACAGTGTCGAAATTTTTTTTATTTTCACGGTTTTGAAACCATATTAGTTGTAAATGCTCACAAAACCATATTATTTTGCATTCATGGTTTTTTAATCATTCCAGTTGTGCAAGGTTTCAAAACCTTAAGGTAAAGAAATGTTCTTAACCGTAAATTAACTTCTTTGTTAACTTCAAAATTAACTTCATGGTTAATTCAATGGACAGACTGCTGCCGATCATTTTACTGTAATTTTAGAATGCAAAATTTTAACAGTGCATACAAAATTTAAATCGTGTAATTAATCTTAAATTGGGTTTTTCTTTTCTAATGATTGCATTAATTCCGATTATAAAAATTTCGAAGATTATTTTGTTATGGAATAAAATAAATTTACTTAATATGTTAAATACTTACATTGATTTTCTTCAAAGGTTAAGTCATCTAGAAAGACATGATCTCATTAATAAAAAAACATTTTTTTTTGCTCGAAGAAATTCCATCATTAAATTTTTACATAATCGAGTTCTTTAATGTTTTGATGAAGTGACGGTAATTACACTTACAAAAAGAATTTAGAACCTTTAAGGACATCTTTTTATGCTTTTTTAGGCGCTCGATATCAGCTATTAAGCAAATTATGTTTTTCTAAGACATTATTTAGTTAAAGAGTGTAAAAATATCTGCTTCATCCATAAAAAGATAATCGTCTTTTCGTTCTTAAAACTTTTTAAGATCTAACTTTTCTCTAGAAGAAAAAAAAATAGGCTAAAATTAACTTTTTTTAATACTTCAATTAATTTTCAAAGAAAAGATAGTAAAAACTACATTAACGAATATATTAATATATTCTAACATAGCTAGCATATTTGTTTTTGTATGCTTTTTATACTTAATTTTTTGAATTGAGAAAAATACAGAAAACGTCATTAATGCTTGTCCTAAAGTTTGTCAGGAATAAAAGTCTTTTTATGAGAGTAAAAGAATAATATTTTAAAAGGAAATGAAAGTTAATATTAAAGTGATATCTAATAATTACTCAAATTAATTCGAATTCTCTTCAACTTAAGTTTTTAAATGTTAATTTCATACAAGAGTAAAAATTTATTTACATTTATGGAAATTTTATTCAAAAAATCACTAGCTGTGAACATTTTTATGATGTAAATTTGATAATGCAGTGCATGATAAATTAGTGCATCAATTGATTTAGTTCTGCTATCGAATTTGCTGAAAGATATAAGAATTAAGGAGGCAGTTTAAAAAGTAACTTACAAATAAATTGCTTTTCAATTCAACTGAGAATACCCAGTGGAGTTTATGATACATTCTTTTATTCGTGCATTCAAGTTTTTCAAATATTAGGAAATGTTAATGAAACATTTTTTAACATTTTTTTAGCAGAAATACATTATTAGCAAGTTTAGCTCTTGGTTATCGAGCATTAATATTATTAATAATCAATTATTGCAAACAACTTTATTGAATAGTTCTTTGTTTTAAATATTTCCTAATGATTTCTGGAATTTTTAGAACACAGACACATGAATAATATCCAAAGCTGCATTTTACTATTCCACTATAAATTAATGTTCCACTATAATTAAATTCCTCTACAAATATGTATCTATTAGCATATTTTACAATAAATTAATAGATTTTCGGTCGAAATCTATGAGAGAAATTCCTTTTGTCTGTAAACAGCAGAAATACAACCAGAACTATAAATCGGGGGCAGTATGAAATATTCAGTTTAATGGGGCTAATGCTAAAAACAATAATCTAACTTTATGAAATAGAATTTTCTTATACTGTAAAAATTGTTATTACTTTTCACACTGTAAAAAATTCCGGATCAAATTAAAGTAAAAAGTACTGGCTCTCTGAAGTGCAGTATCCGTAAAATTCATTTTACAGTAAAATCTATTTCTACTAGAAAATTTTATACCGTAATTTTTACAGTAATATTTATTTGATTTCAGTGAGTGAGGGATTTTACAGTAAATACTACTGTAAAAATTGCGCTTTATCAGATTTGTTTGTTCCGTAACATTTTTCAGTAAATATGGAATTTACTGTAAAAAGTTATGGTACTTGAGTGCCGGAACTTTTTACCGTAATTTGATCCCGAATTTTTCGCATTATGCTTTAAAAGATAATATGTATTAACTTACATTATCATATTTTTCAAACCAATTACGATTCCGTACAAAAATAAGAGTAGAAAAAAATGATGCAATAGCCTTAATTTTTTATAAGATTTATTTGTTTGACTTAAAGGCACTGTAAGAAATGGTTTCTTAATTCATGAAAACTTCTTCGTATTAACAAATTAATTCCCTGTAATTGTTTTTTCTCCAGTTCTTTTCATTATTCACATGAAACATAAATCCATGTTAAATCTTACACCACGGAATCTCTTTTATGAGTTTTTCTTTAAAGAAGTTCATTTTTATAAGTTGTTTTAGCTGATAATAACTGATAAATTATTTTTCTAAATTTACATATAAATATACAGTCAAATCCCGCTATAGCGAACACTGTTTATATTGAACTCCTGGATATTGTGAACGAAATATTCGCCCCCGTGCCTTACTACACAAGTATAATGTTATTTTTTGTAGATATAGTGAACCAAAACAAGAAGAGATGTTGGATATTATGAACTTTCTTCTGTCTTCGACTGATTTATTTACTTAATTTTTTTTGTAATAATTTTGAGATTTCTACTTCAAAATAAATACATATACCGATTTTTAAAACCATCTATAGCAGTGTTCCCCAACCTTTTTATCACCGCGGACCTGTCAACGTTTGATAATTTTACTGCGGCCTCTGGGGGGGGGGCGTTGATTGCTTATATTTTAGATTATTTTGATTTATTAATTTTAATTCAATTGTATTTAAACATGCCTTCAAAATAAAATACAGTTACACCAAAAAATAAATATGAAGTGATTTAACATTTTAACTTGCTAGAACGTTAAATCAATGAGAACCCTGAGCTTGTTTCCTTGCAATGAGACGGTTCCATCTGGGGGTAATCGGCGACAATGACACCCGAAGTGTGTGTCCAGTTTATTCCGTTGCGTTGTTTTAGTTGCTGTTACTGTTCTTCATTAGTTCCAATGTAAATTTTGCGTAGCGCTTTCGTGTTTTATTTATGATATTTACAGTTATGATGATTGATTTTTTTTTATTAAAAGTAATTGAAAGAGAAAATATTTGCGGTGGTTTTCTTTTTCTTTTATTTTCAAAACATTAAAAAATTTATGTCACTACCTGCGGGGGCCCCTTTTTTTAAATAAATAAAATTTTAATGAAAGACATATATTTTTAATTTGGGGTATAAACCTGAGAATTTAAATTCAGTTTCAATGAAATGGGCGGCCCGGAACTATTTGATCCACTGACTGGGGGTTGGGGAACACTGATCTATGGCATGGAATGTAGCACTAAGTATTTTCTCTTGTGTGCTTCTTTATTGAATAGCATTGAAAGAGAACATTCGAAGAGGCGGCTATCTACCGGTACCTCCATACTTGCTTGAAGATGAAGCCGATGATTTTACTCAAGAATTTGGTGAGATTACTTTTATGAGTTCGAATGGATGGTTAAACAGGTTTAAAAAGTGGAGTAATATAAATTCAGGAAAAATTATCGGAGAGTCGGGAAGAGTGCTTCCATATCTGATGTTTGGATTGCGCATCAGCTAAAGATTACTAATTTTTTTGTACGCTAGGCGTAGAGTAATTTATATATATATATTTCTCTTACACGGCGGCAAAAAAAGCCTCATTGCATTTCCCCGAATGGCAACGCTAGAAAATCGACCAATGATTGCAGCTAAAAATGTCGCATGCCAAATCTAGCCCTTGCTAGTGGATTCCGATATCTAAAATGTAATTATTTGGAACTATTATTATACATGGAAAGTTGTCTTTACTCATGCTGTAACACTAGCTCTATGGATATATAATATTAAAGCAGTTTTTCAAAGCTAACTTTTCATAGTATTGTGGGGATTTATAAATCGACTATGTCAACTTTCATCTATCAAAAGATACCTCTTGATGGATTCAAATTAACATGTCTTATATACTACTCCACATTACTCCCCTTCCTGAATTTTATGTGTGATAGAATTCGATGAACAGATTCCATTAGTTGATTCATGCTGTTTTTTTAAAATTATTTGTTTATATCATTCTTGTGCCCCGCAGTGAATTGATCGTTAAGACACGGTTCCCTGCAGATCACCGAAGTCAAGCATCACTGGCTGCGGTCAGTGTGCGGGTCGGTGACCACTTGGATCAGTCTGCGTAGGGANATGATTGTTTCGAATTCTTAGAATTTTGTGCATTTGCAATGTACCTAAGTTAGTAGCGAGCGAAGCGAGCGTGGTTTGCGAAGCAAACCATATAAGATTGCTTAGCAATTTTCGGGGGTTGGCAAGCGTTAGCGAGCAGGGGGTTCAGCCCACTAATAAAAAATAAAAGTTAACACATTTTTGTTACTACGTATTATTTTTCAGTCATTTTTGTATTTTATTTTAATGGTCATTTACATAAATAATTTTTGATAAAGGGGGGGGGGTAGAAAGATTAATTAAAATTGTTTGCGGAACGGATATAGTGAACTCCCGGTTATAGTGAACCGAAATTTCGGTCCCTTGAAGGTTCACTGTAGAGGGGTTTGACTGTATTTTAGTACATTATTAGGAAAAATATATCTCAGTAAAATTTTCAGGAAACATTAATATACAAAGAAAAAAAGTTTTTCTCCAAGTGTCCGTAGGTTAATGGAAGTAAATCTTGTTACCTCAAAGAAAATTCATTAAAGTAATATTTATAAAATTTCTAAACAAGGATATCAAAAAAATTAATTTAGTGAAATTAAAATGAAATAAACCTAAAGCAGTTCAGTTACATAAAAACTGCTTATAAGTATTTCTTTTCTTTTTTAGACTAATATCTATTCATATACTTTTTACAATGTTCAAAGAAGTTATTGTTTAGTATTTTTTGATAGAACAGACTATCAAAAATCGTATTGATTTTATTAACGCGTTATTTTTAAAAAAAATTTATATTAGTTAAAATGAATTCAGAGAATATCTTTAAAGTTGTAGAAGGTTGGTGGTTTTGACATAAATTTAACTTTAAAAGCTTATTTTTTATGAAAAAGTATTGAAAATAAACTAACAAAACATGAATTATGTAACGGGATGGCAGATAAATTAAAGTGAAAGTAATGGAGAAAATTTGCTTTTTGTATTGCTGAATGATCAACCGCCCTTGCTAGTGGATTCCCGATATCTAAATTGTAATTATTTGGAACTATTATTATACATGGAAAGTTGTCTTTACTCAGTTGTAACACTAGCTCTATGGATACATAATATTAAAGCAGTTTTTCAAAGCTAACTTTTCATAGTATTGTGGGGATTTATAAATCGACTATGTCAACCTTCATCTATCAAAAGATACCTCTTGATCGATTCAAGTTAACATGTCTTATATACTAGTGATTTGGTATTTAATATTTGTAGTGGCAGTTACGCCACATTACTCCCCTCCCAAAATTTTATCCGTGATAGAATTCGCTGAACAGATTCCATTAGTTGATTCATGCTGTTTTTTTTTTAAAATTATTTATTTATATCATTTTTGTGTCCCGCAGTGGACTGATCGTTAAGACGCGGTTCCCAGCAGATCACCGAAGTCAAGCATCACTGGCTGCGGTCAGTATGCGGGTCGGTAACCACTTGGATCAGTCTGCGTAGGGACCGAGGGTGTGCGGTATTGGTCCTTGCTAAACTGTTCTACCGTAAAGTGCTCGACTTCGAGTGCAGGTCGTTGGGCTACCGAAGCGGGGGTGCCATCCCCTCTGCAGAGGATCAAAATTGAGATGGCATGTCTTCGGATCATCCTCAGGGATGTTTCCCAGACCGTCGCCAATAGCCCATTGTGCAGCTCTAGTGCGACGTAAATGAACTACAACAACAACAAAAATATCATTTTTGCTCATTATATATTTTTTCTTCATAGCCTTTCGTTCATTATTTTTTCTTCTTCTTGTTTTTATAGCTTTTTGCAATTTTTTTTCTTTTTATTCATAGCATTTCGCTCTTTTTTTCCTTCTTCCTCTCAATGTTGCTTATTAACCGGGAGACTTTATTTACTTCACCGGATTTTTTTCTTTCTTTCTTTGAGCAATATATTTTTAAGCAAATCGACTGTTTTTTATTGTGGACCATCCATCATTATTGGAAAGTTCATATCACGTCCGGGTCACCATTGTGGGGATTTATAAATCGACTATGTCAACCTTCACCTATCAAAAGGTACCTCTTGACGGAATCAAGTTAATATGTCTTATATACTAGTGATTTGATATTTAATATTTGTAGTGGTAGTTACGCCACATTATCTATTCAAATTTCAGTTAAATATTAATATGTACTTTTGAACCACAAAAACGAGAGTAATGATTGCATTTACAACCTAGTTTGCACATTTGTGAAATTAAAATAATTTAGTTATTAAAATTGTATGCAAAAGAATAAACTAACTATAGTATAATATATCTATAAAATTGTAAAACTGAATTACATGTACTTGAGTTTCTAGAACTACACGACCTTGTAGCAACTTACTTTTAAGGCATTCAGTCTTAATTTTCCCGATTTTCTAATTTTATTCAATATTTTTAATGCAATTTTAATCTCATAAACATAATTTGTGAGTGTAGTAAAAAATAAAAAATTTAAACTGTCTGAAATGTTTAAACAAAACATTTTGACAATTAAATATTAATAAAATAAAAAAAAACATATGCGATTGATTGCTAGTTGTTAAAAAACATTCAAACGAATTCAAATCGAAACGAAAGGAGAAAAAAAGCTTTGCCAAGTAATTTTGGTAAAATAATTTCTAGGGTAAACTACAATTAAGATAATTATTTTGTTTACAGCACACATTTTCTAAATTTTATTTCATGAATAACTCTAATATTTCTTTTAATCTTTTAGCTTTTAATCGATGCCCTTGGATAAGGAATAAATTGAAAAACGGAAGAGTTAAGATTCGGAACAGAGGCCGGATTGCTAAGTTCCTGTGTGACCCCGGATATGAACTTGCAGGAAAAAGATTCTCAACATGTGTGAGGGGTCAATGGAACAATCCTATACCTGTTTGTGTCGGTGAGTTTTCAATAAATTTTGATATTTTTTTGTATATTAAAAATAAAATAGTATTTTATGGCCGGGACAAGTTTGGTCTTGTAGTTGTAGTAGGCTATTAAGGCAAGGGATGTGAATGTTCTTGTTTTCCAGTGGAGCCATCTGTGGTTAAGAATTTGACTTCCGCCATACCCATACGTCACATCTGTTTATACTGCTGACTCATTCATGCATCCATTCATTCTTCCGCAGATCGTAATTTCGACCTGAACCAGGAAACGATCGATCTCCAATTCAGTATCCCGGAGGTGTAATTGGTAAAGGGAACATGGAGAACTTTGTGACCTAACAGATTTAGTATGCACCAGTCACCATTTACTACACAGGAAGTCTTTGGCAGCTGCATTCGAACTCCCGTTCTCACAAACCTGAACCCAGAGCCGTGCCAACCAGGTTACACCGGCCCCAAAGTTTGTTGTTAAATAAGTTGTATCAGTATTAGATAGTGAAAGCATGTTACCGCTAAAATGAATAAACAAAAAAAATACAACTCTCACTTTTGACGAATTAGCAATCCTTGAGCTGTATTTCGTTAACATTGACAATCATTTCGTCACGAAAATCACATTATTTGTGGCAAAATGCTTCATCATTGCATAAAATCAAATGCTTCATCATTGCATTGCATTCATCATTTTTATTGAAAATTTTTACAAAAAACGACATGAAAATATTCTTTAAGAGAATTTTATAGAATAAAATGTCTCTCGATATATATTTCTCTTACACGACGACAAAAAAAGCCTCATTACAACTCCACGAATGGCAACGCAAGAAAATCGACCAATGATTGCCGCTAAAAATGTCACATGCCAAATTTCAAATATAAGGCGAAAATTTTCCTCAACTCGGAACCTGATCGCAGTGCCCTGTGGGATATTGTTAACTGGAGCGACGAATCTAAAATGAAAGTAGAGTGGTGTAGAGAGTTCGAAAATATAGTGCTGAAACAAACCGACCGGCTGTATGATGATTAAGGAGTTGGCTTTGTATCAGGACCAGCCCGTTTCGGACATGTATGTAATTTATCCCGCTGCTCGATCTGTCTTTGTGATGTTTGCGCTACATCGATCCACCTGTATGGTGCATATGATAACGTGATTATTAGAAAAGTTAGATACATTAGGCGCTACAAGATTCTTTTTTTTAAAAAAAAATTAGTATGACAAAATATTTTTTTAAAATTTTGACGAAATTCGTTTTCATGGAGAAGTGACAATAGTTATTTCACTATTTTGACGAAATGTTTGCTTGGTGCTGTGAATGACAGAAATGGGTGGTTGTTGACGTCCACCGGTGAATGCTGATAATCACTAAATTGCTTTAGTAAATGTCCGTAATATATACTAGGTCTAGTGAAGTGCCACTGCCTGGTATACATTAACCCGGTATATCCTACATCAATTTCTTTTTAAGGTCAAGTGTCACTGCCAAGTGTCACTGATACTCTAAACACTGATGTTTCTCCTAATCTATCCTCAGCTTGCATTAAAATATCAAATAAATATAATAATATCAACGAATGAATTAATATTAAATCAAAAAATAACAAATACTTTACACATCCCCCAAAGCGACTATGTGATTGCTGACATTCACCGGTAAAAGTCGACATTCTCTTGATTTCGATCATTCACAACTGCACATATACCAGAAAATGATGTCAACAAAAACGAAGAAAGTTTTTTTGTAGAGAGAGTTCATTCATTTTTTATAGAGTAGAGATGAGTTATTTCACAGATTATGTAGCAAACACGTAAATTAACTTGGGTTAAAGGGAAAAAAATTATTTCATTCCTCAAATTACCTAGCTAATCTATACAAGTGGAAATAACATCTTGACTGGAAAAACAGCAAGGTTTTTGTACGCTTACATTTATTTATTGTTAACATTTTATTATTATTTATTCTGTTCACTTAAACTAACATTTTGTTATTCATTTATTTTCCGCTATCTAAAAAGTAATTAAAATCAAACTATCAACACATTAGTAGATAGAATCTACCTACCACACAGGCTGGGATAGCTTGAACGGTAGGGCGCTGGGCCCATGTCCGGGAGTTCGTGGGTTCGAACCCCGCCGGCCGAAGTCTCCCCGTTTAGTAAAGTGACTGATGCACGTTAAATCTGTCAAGTCGCAAAAGTCCTCCATGTTCCCATAACAAATCAATACCTCTGGCGGTACTGGATTGGAGATTGATCGTTCTCTGATTCAGGTCAAAATTACGATCTGTGGATGAAAGAATGGATGTATGAATGGGTCCGCCCTATAAACGGGTGTGGCAGAAGTCGAATTCTTGGCCATAGATAAAAACAAGAACAATAGCTCCCCCTCTGCTTAAACAGGCTTACGTCAGCAACAACAATAAAAATTAAAACACAAAAAGGATAAAAATATTATTACATTCACGGAAATTAATATAGCTTTGTAATTTACTTTTTTTTCAATTTCAAAAAAATCTATAAATACAATCAAATAATTAACGAATTTGATAAAGGGAGAGAAACGAACTTTTGAACTTTAACCCTTAATGCTCTCATTACTTAGATTCCGAAAAATTATTGATTCCACACTTCGACCGATTACTCTAGTTAATCTGCAGATTTTCTAGGCAATGAGCGCATTATCTGTTTTTGAGCTAAAGTTATAACAAATAAAAAAACTCGGATCAAATCTGAATCACTTTTAATCTAATGATTCCACACTTCGACGGATTACTCTAGTTAATCTGCAGATTTTCTAGGTAATGAGTGTATTATCGGTTTTTGAGCTAAAGTTATAACAAATAAAAAAACTCAGATCAAATCTGTATAACTTTTAATCTAATGATCAAAATCTCACACTCTAGAACTCAATATTTTTGGTTTGAGGTGGTGACCTCAAATATGCTAATTAACTAGTGCAGGCGATATTTTAAGTTACGAAATCAGACACAAAAACGTTCTTTCTCTGAACAAACATACCTAATTTTCGATGGATTCTGATTTTTGACCTCCAATTACCCGCAATTTAGAGTCGCGATAGTTTGATCAGGAGAGTGATCTAAAATTTCAACACTCAAATATTAATTTTATATTATGCGTACTTCGCCATATCTTGAAAACTTGTTACGCGTATTGAATTTTTTTCCCCACAATTATGAAGTTCATTTATCCGAAGATGGGAAAGATGGAAAAAATAACTTAATATGTTTACTAAGTTATATATGTTTACTAAGAGACTAAGAGAAAACACGTTTTTGTGTCCGCTTTTGTAACTTAAAATATCGCCTGCACTAATTTTAGGTGCTCTTCTTGAACCAGTAAGATTGAGTCCCAGAACATGAAGATCCGTTCATTATATCAAAAGATATTCAGGACGGTTCGTTTTTTTTGTTCAATTTTCGTATTAACTGATTAACGCTGGTGTCTGGCTTTTGAAAATATGTTCACAACTGTATTACAGGTTTAAAGAAAAATTAAAATTCTGCATAAAATCAACATAAATAATTTATAAAATAATATTTTCTCTTGCTTTATAAATGGTAGCAGATTTCAGCTGATAATACAGACTTTTTTTTCAATATTAGACCAAAAATTTAAAAGGTCAAAGAGGTCAGACGGTAAGCTTATTTAGATATGCTTTTAATTAATTACTAACAATTTATAAATATTTGCAAGACCAATTGGTTTTCAAATTCCGTAAAATTTGTAATAATTCATAGAGTTCATAGGGTCTTTCACAGATATTAATAAAACAATAAAATTAGAAACTTTAAATTTATGATTTGGTATACTTTATATGCTAGTTGTGTTCTAATCCAAGAGATTATCAATATTTTTTAATATTAAAGTTTCAGAAAATTATTTTAATCTTAGAACAACACTATAAAGTGCTTAAGTTAGTGCACAACAATTTAAAAATATCTTTTCGAAAGTTTGCATTTATTAAAATCTTTAAATAATTAATTAATTAAAAATAATTTAGGAGCTGCATAATTAGTTGAGTTCAAATGCGAAAAAAATTCCATAATTTAAACAAGGTAGAGAATTTAACTTTTTTTCGGACGTGTTAGTTATTTTAATAACAAGGAAAATTTAGGAAATATTTTCAACGCTAGATGGCAGTGAACAGGTATTGTTTGAGGATAATTTTAAAGTGTAAAAATGTATGGCGAGATAAGTATTCTATACCTGACAGAGATTAATAAATATTTTTGGGCTGAGTTATAGCTAAAATTAAGCACTATAATTTTTTATTCCAGAGTTATTAAATTAAATATATCATTCTGCAATGTAGCAAATAAAAATTAATTATTAATTAAATTAATAATGCAAGATTATTAATTTAATTAAAAATAATTTTATTAAAAATAATGCATTATTGAAATTTTGAGAAATAAACTTGCATTATTAAAACATTAATTTGCATGATTAAAAAATTAATTAACAATGCAAGTGTAACATAAAAAATAAAAAAATAATTAGCTCACAAAAAGTACACATGCTCTTTCTTAGAAATGTAAAGCATGTATGCAAATTGTTTTTGAATCATGCGGGAAAATGTTCAATTTTTTATCAAAATTAAAATCTATAATTCAAAATGTTCAAAATGTTCAAAATTAAAATCTATAGTTACTTAGAGCACCCGGCCTGATGATACTGTGAATTTCTATCGTTTACCTCTGTAGTCAGAATTATTGCACTTGTATCATCCTCATTCAAAATTCTGCCACTTTAATTTAATCAGAGAACAGAAATTTTATTTGCAATTTCATTATGGATGCCATAAACAATTTTCAATTGTTTTTTGATCACAACAAAAAAAATGATTGCTAAACACGATTTTAATTTTGTTAGAACTGTCTAGTTTTTCAAACTTTTTCAGTCTCAGGGGAAATTGGATATTCAACGTGAAGCATTAAATTTTATCTCGCAGCTAATGCAATGCAAAAAAATGCAACAATTTTTCTATGCATGCATGTTTGCAAATGATTGTTAACTTAAGAGAAACTGCGAAATTTTTTTTTCTAGAAATACATTGTCAAAACATTTCTTTCAATTTAAATCTAAAAAATTTTGCTATTGAAAATATTTGAAAGTAATAAACTTAAATAATATATTTTCTTTGATGAAAATAAACTCAATTCCGTTTAATGCTTCTAAAAATAAGAATTGTTTCAGTTTTATCATAAAATATTTAGAATATCATTCGAAAAATAAAATTATAAATTTAGTTTTTTATGTAGTTATTTATATAAGTTTGTAGTTATTTATATAAAAAGTGAAGTAATTTATTTTTTAAATTATGAAAGAGGAGGATTTTGTGCTTTTATTAGAGTTTTCTGGCAAAAGAAAGAAAAGCATTTTTATTTCAAAAATTAATGAAATCAAAAATAAGGAAAAAAAATCGAAAAACCCTCTTTCACGAATTTAATATAACAAGAGTTTAAATACTAAAATATTCATGAGATAAACAACTTTGAGATGATGAATAACTTATACGTTGAAAACGTCCCAGGAAAAACTAAGTAGCATTTTTATTCCATAAAAATCCCCTAAAGTCCCAGAAGTTTTGTTGGTAGTATACGAGAAACAATTATGGAAACATCATTATTGTATAAGAAACATTTAATTTACTTAAGAAAAATAATTGTGAAGGTTGTTAGATAATTACAATTCATCAAAATTTCAAGTTTTAAACTAATGCCTGGAAAATGGAAAAAAAGTCAAGAACATTTGACGTTTTGTAACAATTTTCTAGTGGGTTCTTTTTTTTATAAATGTTCTACAGCATGGAAGTACCTAATTATGAGCAATAGAATATTAATGTGTTATTATTTACTTAATCATGCATTGTTAACAATGTCAAGTTTTGAGCAATTTTCTATTAACGAGATTCGTCAATAGATTAATATGATTCAACAAATTTTTTTTTTTAAAAATTGGTTCACATCTGACAAAGTTTTCTTTAAAAATGATTTATTCTGTGTTATTTTCTTCAATTTTTATATAAATGACTTGATAGTATCTTTTATTGCATTAATGTTTAAATTAAAATTAATTTAATAACATCTCTAGAGAATTGCAATTGTGAACAAAGGGACTATTAGGAATAGCTGAGAAACTAAACCTGCATTTGGTTTTGGCCAGTTTACTTCAAGTCTGCAAATATAAAGAGTAACATAAAATAATTAATCAATCAATGTTTAAATTAAAATTAATTTAATAACATCTCCAGACAATTGCAATTGTGAACAAAGGGACTATTAAAAATAACTAAGAAACTAAACCTGCATTTGGTTTGTTCAGTTTTACTCCAAGTCTGCAAATATAAAGAGTAAAATAAAATAATTAATCAATCAATGTTTAAATTAAAATTAATTTAAAACATCTCCAGAGAGTTGTAATTGTGAACAAAGGAGCTATTAGGAATAACTGAGAAACTAAACCTGCATTTGGTTTTGGTCAGTTTTACTTCAAGTCTGCAAGTATAAAAAGTAAAATAAAATAATTAATCAATCAATGCAAATTTTTTTTTTCAAAATATAGTATACTCTCGATATTTCAAAGTTGAAGGGATGCTAAAAAAATTTCGAGTTAGCGAGTTTTCGAGATAACAAGTTAAGAATGAAAAATGTTCTTAAAAACTAGAAAAATATATTCTNTACCTAATTATGAGCAATAGAATATTAATGTGTTATTATTTACTTAATCATGCATTGTTAACAATGTCAAGTTTTGAGCAATTTTCTATTAACGAGATTCGTCAATAGATTAATATGATTCAACAAAATTTTTCTTTCAAAAATTGGTTCACATCTGACAAAGTTTTCTTTAAAAATGATTTATTCTGTGTTATTTTCATCAATTTTTATATAAATGTCTTGATAGTATCTTTTATTGCATTAATGTTTAAATTAAAATTAATTTCACATCATCTCCCGAGAGTTGCAATTGTGAACAAAGGAGCTATTAGGAATAGCTGAGATACTAAACCTGCATTTGATTTTGGCCAGTTTACTTCAAGTCTGCAAATATAAAGAGTAACATAAAATAATTAATCAATCAATGTTGAAATTAAAATTAATTTAATAACATCTCCAGACAATTGCAATTGTGAACAAAGGGACTGTTAAAAATAACTAAGAAACTAAACCTGCATTTGGTTTGTTCAGTTTTACTTCAAGTCTGCAAATATAAAGAGTAAAATAAAATAATTATTCAATCAATGTTTAAATTAAAATTAATTTCACATCATCTCCCGAGAGTTGCAATTGTGAACAAAGGAGCTATTAGGATTAACTGAGAAACTAAACCTGCATTTGGTTTTGGTCAGTTTTACTTCAAGTCTGCAAATACAAAGAGTAAAATAAAATAATTAATCAATCAATGTTTAAATTAAAATGAATTTCACATCATCTCCCGAGAGTTGCAATTGTGAACAAAGGAGCTATTAGGAATAACTGAGAAACTAAACCTGCATTTGGTTTTGGTCAGTTTTACTTCAAGTCTGCAAATATAAAAAGTAAAATAAAATAATTAATCAATCAATGCAATTTTTTTTTTCAAAATATAGTATACTCTCGATATTTCAAAGTTGAAGGGATGCTAAAAAAATTTCGAGATAGCGAGTTTTCGAGATAACAAGTTAAGAATGAAAAATGTTCTTAAAAACTAGAAAAATATATTCTGAACTAATAATATTACTCTAAAAAGTTGTAAGGAAACATAATAATAACTACTATTAAATATGTATGTAATGATAGTTGACTATAAGTCTAAGTGCAATTAATTTCAATCTTAAAAGTAGGACTAAAATAATTATGCCTTAAATAGAAAAGAATTGGTTTACAATAAACTTAATTTGTGATTTTTTCGAAAAAATTCAATTTCTACTTCGAAAAGAATTAGAAATAACAAGGTTTTAAGAAGAAATGGGAATTCAAATTAACATTACATGGATGTATAATGCTAAGGGGAAAAATATTTTTTTGACGTAACAAGGATTCCGAGATATCGAAGTTCGAGATATCGAGAGTTTACTGCATTTAATGGGCCTGGTTGGTAGGGCACTGGGCCCATGTCCAAGTGATCACGGGTTCGATCCTTGCCGGCCGAAGACTTCCCGTGTAGGCATTGGTGACTGATGCACGTTAAATCTGTCGATTCGCAAAGTCCTCCATGTTCTCATAACAAATCAAAACCTCTGGGGGTACTGAATTGGAGATTGATCGTTCTCTGATTCAGGTCGAAATTACGATCTGTGGATGAATGTATGAATGGGTCCGCCGTATAAACGGGTGTGACATATGAGTGTGACAGAAGTCGAATTCTTGGTCATAGATGGCGCCACTGGAAAACAAGAACAATCGCACCCCCTCTGCCTTAATGGCATACGTCAAAAACAACAACAGTATTTAATTTTCATTTTTTTAAATTATATCTTACAAAGAATTCATGCCAATAATCTAACTTTATTTTCAAGCAAAAACAATATTCTTTTTTTATAAGTCATTTATCCAAAATCATTAAAGGTAAAAAATAACAAAAGAAATTATTGTACGCAAAACAATAAAAAAAAAACTTAAAAGAAAATTGAAACAATTTTCCATTAGTTCCAGACACCTGTTTTAAAAGAATGTCAATTTAGGATTTTGGCAATCAATCAAAAAATAAATTAACACTTGGGCATTTTATAATAGACTATTTCTCATCAGCGGAAAAGTTCGTGTTTTTATTTTCTCTCTCTTTAGAATCTGCCCTATGTAAATTACAATACACGTAGAAAAATTGTTTATTCATGCAAATTATGTTTTCTTTGCAGTACATTTATTTTGAAAGGGACATAATCGTTAATATTGTAAAACTTTCAACATTGATAATTGACAAGCGAAAGTTGCTTATCTTTGAAAACTAATTGTACAAATTTATTTACACATAATTAACTATCATAAAAGAGTGGCAAAATAATGTTAACTAATATTTGAATAATTCAAAATTATCTTTACAGTTATGGTTTTATAATTGAATAGCAAATATTTTTACTTAGAAAGAACAATATTAAATGAACAGTAATTATTTTATGATGGATGGCTTTAGTATTTTCAACCTTTTGTCGAATTATTCTATCGGAGCTGAAAATTCATTAACTATAATAAAATTAAATCTCGTGGAGATATTTTACCTAAGCATTGCTTTATGTTAAAAATATGTTATAATCATGAAAATATTCCCAAACATATGGTTTATTAATTCGTGCTTCGTATTCTATAAAGTTAAATTTTATAAAGAGTTGATTAAAAATTGTTGGTAAAGTCAGAGTTTTAAATCTTAACATTCACCGAAGTGACTTAAAAAAATATTTTCCAAAAGTGACGTTTTTCTAAAACGCTATGTTCTTTTTTAAGGAAATTTATTATGGCCAACATATGGACGCTTTATCAGATTTGAGCAGGCTTCAGGTGTATTTGCGAAATGAAATATTTTAAGTAAAAAAATGTTTTATGTCCAAAACAATATACTTTCAGTATTTTGTTATTTTTCTGTTTGTTACTACTTAATAATAATTTAATAAAGTTATTGGAAAAATATACCAAAAAAATTATTAAGTTAAGAAATATATATCAAAATCTTGCACATATGATTACTGATATCTGTTTCATCATTACATAAAACTTCGCTTTTTATTGAAAATTTTTACAAAAAACGGCATGAAAATATTCCTTAAAAGAATTTTATAGAATAAAATATATATAATAACTACCGTAAGGAACTTCACTTCACGCGCAGGTCGTCGGGCTACCAAAACGGGAAAGTCCTCCCACTTTTAAAGGATCGAAAATGTGATGGCCTGCCTTCACATTTTACAGCCACCAATAGCCCATATTGAGATGTAAAAAAAGCTAGTTACTAAGCAAGCTTATAACAGAGAATCTTTCATTGTTTCAGCCCGAGGATGTTTCAGACCCCCGGAAGTACCGAACTCACGAATAACAGAAGCTTATCGTGGAGCTATACTCATGTATGATTGTCACCCTGGTTACACTTTAGAAGGTCCTGCTGCTCTCTATTGTGATGGAAGGACATGGACATCAGATGTTCCAACTTGTGAGGGTGAGTTTTGAAATATTATTTTTCCTGCTGTTCCATACGGTTAGTTTATCAGAATGCAAGAATCAAATTTAAACGAGTCAACTTTGATTCCACGAATTAGAGTGACCTATCCTCTTACCCTGACAAATCCTTGGTCATTTTGGATAGTCAGCAAAATGACCAAGAGAGGACATGCATCTACATAATTCTCACTAGCAAATAAGTGATCCATAATTATTTACATTTTTAATGAGCGTACGGATAACTTTTAGGTACGTATCAGTTTCGTATGGAAGAGAAACTGACAAACTATTATTAACGCAGAGATGTCATTAAGTGTCTAGTATACTAGTATAGGTACTGTGGTTATAGGTTTTTCATGTCCCTCCTTTTTCAACGAATGAGTGCCAATTTCTAGTTTTAGCATTTTTATTACCAAAATTTTGATTTGTTTACAAAATGGGAGTGTTGCAATAATATAGACTGTAAAAAAATTAGGTAAAAGCAGTATTTGGTGCAAAGTTTCTCATTATCCCAAAGTTTGAAAGATAATTTTATTTTAATTGCACCATAAACTGTGAAGTATGATCCAGAAATACTTCCATTGTGCAACTGACTGCACCAAAATTTGGTAAAAGACGCACAACTTTGACGGTGATTGTAAACTGAACGATATTTGTTTACGACGCCATGTTTTATTTACAACTCGGTCTCGGTGTATCAGAACGACTAATGCATGTTGTTTCCAGTATCAACTTATTTAGGTAGGCAAATGTTTTTTTTGCGTTAATTAAACTTCATTTCCTTTATGCTGCCTTTTTAAATGTGGTTAGTGGTTTAAAATCGTTAGAAATATGTCATAAACTAACCTACTTACTGTAAATAGTTTTGCTCCGGAAAAAACTTTCCTATGCTTCTGTAGAAAAAAAGAAAGAATGAAAATGAGTGCTGTAGTCCTTTAAAACACCTACTTTTGGTACAACTTTCTTCCGAGATTTGGAGATGGAGAATATACCAAAATATGATAAAATTGAGCTTCATTTTATGTAGCCAGCAAATGAATATCAATTTTTTAGGCAACGTGACAAGGAATTTTTAACAGTGCATACAATTATAGATCTATTAATTACCGTCTTCACCTTTGCTGGCATAGTTGTATAATAATAAGGATGTTTTTAATGACATTATGGCACAATTGTGGCTGGCTTACTGTACACTGACTTGCAAGACTTGGGTGGTCATTAGCTTATTGATATAGAACTTTGACTCCAAATATTTTTTTGCACGTTCCTTTTAAAACGTCCAAAGATCTAGGCAATCTGTAAGTCTAGATCATCTCACCAAAGCTGTAGCTGCACCAAAGCAGATTATAGAGAGAACGTTGCCAAGTGCTGGTGGACGGACGAAATTAGTGCCAATTTTAGAAAAGAATTTGGAACATTAAGGTGCCATATTTAGGGATAAGATATTTCAAACTTTCTATTTAACTCACCACTTTTTTTACATGCTTGAATATTAAATTAAAATGTAAACTTATATTATTCGAATAAATGTAAAAATATATTTTCGAAGTTTAAATTTTCTGTTCGATTTTGGGCACCAAAAGGAATTCAAATTTAAATTGCATTCAATAAAATAATCTTTACAGAAGTGATGAATAATCTTTTCAAATAATCAAATTTGCAAATAATGAAATATTTCATAACTCATATTGTTGTCTTTTTCAATTGAATCATTTAAGTCGTTTGGATAATAAATGTCATTTATAATTAACTAACTGTTCATAGTTATAGAAGAATCACAATCCAGTTTCTTAAAAAGAGTGCTTGTATCTGTATCATGTATTAAAACTTATTTTCTTTTGAAATAATGTTTAAAATAAAAATAACGTTTTAAAATACTTTTGGAGATTTTTTAATGAAAACAGAAAACTTTTCAACTAAAAAACTAAATTTTAATTTACAACTATAACCTATCTTTAATGAAAAATTGAACAAAAGGTTGAAGTAAAAAATAATTCTAATTTCTGTGTAATTTAGCGTACGTTTGAAAAAGATTAATTAAAACAAGTTCGTTCATAAAAGAAAAAATATTTTTTGCAGAAGGTATTTGACTAACGTCCAAACATAAATATCGCTAGATTAATCATGACAAGGAAAAAAAATGAAAAATATTTTTCGAAGAAGTATTTTTTAGGATTTTTTTTGCGAATTGTTGATAAAAATGAGCGTTTGGAAAGTAGTAATTAAAATTGAAAATTCATTTTGAGTTAAATGTATGGTGAACGTTATTTGTTGTCCTCAATAGTTTTTCGTGGAACTTTTCATAAAATATAAGAAAATGAAACTTTTTTCACAAGGGCAGAAATGAGCTGTATGGTTTTAAACCAATTCAATTCCCTTATTTGATTCAAAATGAAATTTTTTTTCAGGTTTTAAAAGCTTTCCGTGTATTTTCGATTTTTTTTTCAATTTTAAGAAAGTAAAGTTTAATTTAAAAGGAAAAAAAAAAACAGCTTCTCAATTTTTCATCAGCATTTTAAAAACAAAATAAATGAAGATACTAAAAATAAAAGAATCTCATAATAGCTTTAATATAAAATAACCTTAACAGGAGACGGATCATGCGTATAGGTTAGAGTCACAATGGTGTCCGGCAAATCTCACGAGGATGAATGAAAAAAGAATCCGAGCAGTTCAATTGCTTATTTTAAGATGTAGTAGTAAGAGTAAATATTCTAAAGTCAGTACATGAATCCCGAGTTCATTAGCGAAGAAGAGGTTACGGTGTAAATGAATTTTTTATATTAGTATCTTAAAATATTTACTTTTAGAAAACAAAATTAAATTTAAATTTATAAATTTATTCTTCATATTTTGTCTTTTTGGTGTATTGAAGAATGTTATCATGTTTTAAAAAAGTAATTTCTCAATTTGTGCTATTTGCAAAAGGAACAAAAATTATTTTCCCTTATCGTGCATAAAGTTATTTTGCTGAAAGAAAATATTGTAAATCCATTTTGTTAATCATGATTTGATCAAGAAACATGTTACGATTAGAAGTTTTTGGCTATATTATAATATAAAACTACTTAGATTTAGAAGACAAAATTAAATTATAGCTCTTTCTTCATATTTCGTCCTCTTAAAGTTTTGAAGCAATCATTTTTTAAAAAAGAAAATCATTTTTCAAATTACGATTTCTACAAAAGGAAAAAAAAATATTTTCGCTTTATAGTGCATCAATCCACATTGTATAAAGTAAATATTGCATATCCGTTATGAATCACGTGGTCATCTATAAAGAGGATACGATGTAAATATAGTTTATTTCATGCAAATGTTTGCAATTAAAACAAATTAAATGATAGCTCTTGTGATTTATTTTATCTTTTTGATGTTTTGGAGTTGGTTTGTTATCAATATTTAAAACGTAATTTCCCACTTTAATTCTCCTTTTTCTATAAGTAATTTCTCACTTATCTAAGAGTAAAAAAAACGAATTTCATTTTCTCTTTTCACAAATTCTCTCAACTTAAATATTTATTCAACAAAAGAGCTTATTTAAATGGAGTATCCTATTTCTAGCCAGTTGATCAAAGATGTAGTTTGATGTTGTGATTTTCAGCTTAAAATAAAGAGAAAAAAATCAATTAACCAATATCCCATTAGACTGAGTTTGATTTTACCAACTATAGGTTTGAGTTTTCTAACTCTTTTCATTCGATCAATGAGCATGTTTTAAGCATATTTTACGAACGCTCTTTGAGAAATCAAATGATAATAAAGACTTAGTTCAATAAAGATTTTGTTTGTTTAGAGAGTTTAATTGATTTCTTTAGTTGAAAGAGTCATATTCTTGTTTTTAAGAATAGAATATTTTCGTGAAAGAATAATGAAATCAATGTTAGAAATAATCTAAGAAGCAACAATTTTTTTCATATAAAAAGAAACACTCGAATGATATTAAAAAATAATTGCAAATAAACTATTTTCCTGTCACTTTATTTAAGTTTAAAGTTTTCAAAATTTGCATTCTAAATAAAGGCATATTTATACACATAAAAATATTGTACAATATCTCTGAAAACTTCCAGAAAAATTCTATGTGTTATTTTATTGCTGCCTCATGTCAGACTTTTTTCTGTAAATGCATTTCTTTCATTTCCCAGAGGTGTGAACATTTTTTGTTGTTATTCTTTGAATCGGACTACTGTTACGTAACACAATACATAAAAACAATTCACACAATCACATTTTGAGAAAATGAGATTGTTTGAATGGACACTTGAAATAATGTAGGTGTCCGTAAACTCTAATAAGTGACGTAAAAAAATACTTTAAAGATATTGAGTAGCATCAAAGTTAATTTTGGCAGTTAACTTTCCTCTAATGTGAGAAAGAAAGGAAATATAAAATTTATCTCTGATCTGGTATTTTGAAACCCTATTACTGATGTAAAAATGGATACTCACGTTTTTTCCACTCTTTTAACTGACATGCAAAAATAATCGAGATCAAAATGTCGATCAAAAAAGAGAGTTTGAATGTATAACTGAATATTTAACTGTACTGAATATTGAAACATAAAATTGAGTATTTGAATTTATAGTTACAAATGATGCATACATTTTATTACATATAAGGCATATTCTGTAAACAACTTTTAAATCTTTTAATCTAATGTTTCATAGAAATTTTAAAGATGACATTTTCAAAAAAGAACTTAATAACCGCAAAAACTCACATCATTAATTATCTTGTAAACTCTTCCATTTATCACGATTATTTAATTCTCTAATTCTATATTTATCAAGGCAGCTGTACATTTTAATCTTTCTACTCTTTATTATTAATGTCTTGAAACATTTCTCATTATAATGTTTATTCTCTTAGGATGATTCGTAAATTCCAACTAATTTCATTTGGTATGTGCGAAAACTTTTTGATTTATAAGATTAAACAATGTATAAATTATATTGATATTTAAAATAGCTTTATCGAACAATTTATACTTCAGGG